AAAGTTTCCAAAATATTCGGCTAAGTATGGTTCTTAATCTAAACTTTGGAAATTATTTTCATCTCTATGTTATTTAATTTTTTCTTAATATTTTTATAAGAAGTAGTTCCTGTCATTAGTTCCNAAGGTTTGTATTCTTTACTTCTTATTTTTAATGAAAAACTAGAGTGATATTTAAAAAATTAACTTATAACCTGAAGTAATATTACAGTTAATAACATTGACAGAATATTTATTGACACAAAAACATTACTGATATTTTATAAATCTATACTTCTACTCTAAAGCTTTTTAAGTCATTATTTATACAACCGTATGAANAAAAAGGTTTGTATTCTTTACTTCTTATTTTTAATGAAAAACTAGAGTGATATTTAAAAAATTAACTTATAACCTGAAGTAATATTACAGTTAATAACATTGACAGAATATTTATTGACACAAAAACATTACTGATATTTTATAAATCTATACTTCTACTCTAAAGCTTTTTAAGTCATTATTTATACAACCGTATGAATCATATTTTAAAAATAAAAGTATTATCAACTTTACCTTTATGGCCCAATGAATTTGTGTTTCAAACATCTTGCGAAGTTTCTTCTCTGTAGCTTGAACTTGCAGTTTGAAGTCATAAAATGCATCTGTGCGATATGCACATTTTGCACACAACATGTTTGGTAGTCCATCATACCTATCGATCTAAAAAAGAAATATGTATATCAGATAATTAGGTAAGCATATAAATATAATTAAAAGAGTATAACAGATCAATTATGTAATATTGAGTATTGTAAACATTATAGTAAATATACTTAAAACTATTTCTTTGTAGGTTATGCAAAAGGTAGTACATAGGTATAAGCAAGGAATTTTCTGAGAAAATATGTTTACAAGAATCTATTTGTTTTGTTCCAATGAGCATTCACACTACCTGTCTCAATTGTTGACAACATGACATATGTCACAACTTATTGTAAAACATAATTTAATTATGTAAAATAATTTTAACATACAATTAATTTAATATTGTACTCTCATAGACGTTGTAATAATAAAAAGGAAACATGAACATAATCTTTAATAAAGACATGTGAATATCATTTTAAGGTTATGTTGTATCTTCGTGAAACTTAAACACGAATAACTGTCAGAAAAAGAACACTGCATTTATTCATGAGATAAATGTGGAGAGTGAAATTACTTCGTTACTAACCTGTATCGATGCCAGTTCAGCAAGTTTATCAGGTAAATTTTTTTGACTGATTGTGTCGTCATCATACATAGGGAGAAGAACGCCATCGACCTTCATACACGCACGACACATATCTGCACAGCTGATTTCCCAGCTCATTGTTATCTTAAATATCGAAATACACATAAAATAAAACTTCCACGCCGCTTTCGTTCACTTACAAATAAATGCATTTCACAGTTCGAGATCAGCGTCGCATTTTCTGTGGGACATAGCCATAACAGTCAACGAGTCAACATACAGTTTACTCAAACTGTAGATAGAGCTTGCATCTACACATTTGCTCAGTGGCGCAATCTTATAATACTGACAACGACATCTGATGTTACGCACTTTTATATTAAAATAGATAGTGTGTAATTAAATTACTGAAGAAAGACAGCTAATTCTTTGCACATATAACTCGAATTTATATGTATACAAATAAATTCATACGTATGAAAAGATCAATACATTTACGAAAAAATTTGCAAATATGATTTCACGTAAATTCTACGTTCAATTACTCGAATTTCGATTATCGAATAAGCAGGTTACCGAAACTCACAATCGTAATGAGTCACGCATTTGTAGCACTTCAAACCGTATACTGTGTAACAATGTTTATATTTTGTTCATATACACGTGTTCCTCGTGTTTGAAGTCCTTGACTGAAATACAGTGATATGTCATTTTTGTTTGTACGTGTCTATTTACACATTGCTCGAAACACGTAACTTATCACCACTTAATTTCGGACATTTTCGAGATTTGTTATACTATTCCAAGCTTTAATTTATTATTATTAATGATAGTAATTATAGGTTTTCTATTTATGCATCTTTACATTTTCTTAACATTCGATAATATCGTGGAACACATAGTGTAGTGTAAATAATAGAACACTACTTATTTGTACATTTCGAATAATTAAACAAAGAAAATAAACAGCCGGTAAATACACAAAAATTAGGAAATGTTTTGGGATATACAGAAAATATTTCGATGCACATTTCGTAATTCTTTTCGGAGCCTGAATTTAATCGGAAGGCTTAAACTTAATCCTTCAAGATTTGACTATTTTTGAACAATTAGACAAAATTATAAACGTAAATAATAATCATTTTTTCAAAATTCAGTTTTTGTTATTTTTTAACGAATAAGATAAATTATATACTTCTATGACTTTTCATTATATGTTGCGAACTGATTCTTAATAAATGTCAGTATTTGTATTTAAAAAATATAAATAGTTCGCAGAAATGAATAATTTCAAGAATGATTTGGAACTGTGATCTTCTTTCTATTCCAGGTTTCTAATTCAGCGTCCTTTTGTTTCTATCAAAAATAGTGAGTGAACATCCAAACTACCAATTTTCTTTTTGCACATTGCATTTTCTTACGGTTGTTTCAAATTTTGGTGCTTGGATTTTGAAGCCGTCGGAGATCAATCTTTTACCAAACGCGATTATTAAAGCATGAATATTATGAAAAATATTTTATGTGTACGTATTTATTGAACCAATACATTCAATGATCTTGTTCCGCTTAATTGCATTTTATTAAAATACAAAATATAGTATTTAGCTTGTTATTAAATTATTATTAAACATAGCTAAATATTCGCGGATTTTAGTGCGATTAATCTTTTCGATCTTTATCGTCTTTGCTAAAAGAAAATAATTTCAAACTATTAACTTGTAAAGCTGAATCCAATGATACTCGGTTTTGGGGGCAGATAGAGCTTATAGTTTTCGAGATAATTAATGTTAAAGTTGTTCATAAAAGGCCAGAAAGATGCGCTGGATTACGGCGCGAGGGTTCGGGTAGTCCGGATCGAACCTCCCACCTTTCCCCACTTCCTAATATTTCTAGTACTGTGCCGGCGTGGTACCCTCTCGCTCGCGTTACTAGGAACGGTTCGGCTCCAACCGACGATGCCCGAACCGTGCTCCGATTTATACCGTGCGTACGCTCCCTCATTCGGTCGGCGCCGAACCGCTCCGCGTAGGGATGTCGGTTTTGAACGGATATTAACGGGTTACCGAATTAACCCGTGTACTTATTATTAAGTATTATAACGGGTACACGAGTGCACGGGTTCCGATATACACAGGTACACGTGTATGTATTCGTGAACGTATTCGTATATCAGATCATTCAGAAAGTGAACACTTTAGTTTTTTTTTCTGTAAAAATGGATGATTAATTGATTCAAAATATTTCCAAATATCTTGCAATTGTTTCTTTTGATTTATTTCTTCGTCCATATTTCATTTTTGTTACGTATCTGCGCGAAATTAAGAACCTCTTATTGCTATACTTTCTAAACGAATTGGAACATGGATACATTAAACTACACGTGCACTCATGTATCAGTGTTTTAAGAAATATACGTGTTAAAATACACGAATATGTTAACTACATGTGTACACGCGTGTGTACGTACGGTGTGAATCGGTGCACGATTCGGTGAACCGTTCCTAGTAACACGAGCGAATGTGTACCACATCGGCGCTGTACTAGAAATATTACGGAGTAGGGGGAAAGGTGGGAGATTCGATCCGGCTTATCTGAACCCTCGCGCCGTAATCGAGCGCGTCTTTCTAATCTTTTATTGACAACTTTAACATTAATTATCTCAAAAACTATAAGCTGCCTGCCCCCCAAACAGGGTATCATTGGATTCAGCTTGACAAGCTCTATCACCGTACGAAATCTCATCAAAAAGTGAGCGTCAACCCTGGAGACCTCGCCTTGTCAGTGTGGCCGGTTCCCAGAATTTTGATTCTGCTTGCTGAGCAAAGGAATTCATCCATTCTGGCGTTATGATGTTCAGGCAGCTGGATGGCGCGTAACGTTGCTTATCCGGGCTAAATTCCAAGAAGCTGGATACAGTCTCCTGTCGCTGAGCTATTTCGAAGAATTGGCGTTGCGAAAGCATTTCAAAGCGAATGTCTTACAAGGGGAGTATCAGACGTGGCTTGTGCGCCGATTTTAACGAAATTTGACAAGTTGATAGATCTATACTTACAATAAGCGCAGCTAAAACTTTGGAAATTAGGTGTAAAGTGCAAATTACAGGTGTCTTAATACTTTATGAAATTTTAACTCGACTATCGAGTCAAAACGTCATATATTTAAATAAGTTAAATTGTTATTAAATTTATATTTCCACTTTTATCGTTCGAATATGTGCACCCAATGAATTTGTGGCTTCTAAATCATAAAGCGTGTCGCGATATAAATGAGATATACAGAATACTCGATTTTCACTAAGAAGCTTAAATTTCTGAAATATTAGTAACGATACCGTAACACGGAAATTATAATAGGCTTTCCGAAGCCCCATTTTTGGGTGACAAATATATTGGTTTTAGCAGGTTCACTCCTATACCTCGTCTGTGCTGATACTAAAAGTGTTAGAAGCTTTACTATAGATGGCGCCGCTATTTCAGGGAATGTGGCGTACTCGATGTTGTGTCGCTAACAATACAATTTTTACGGATCTTTGAAATTGTTTAATGTTTCTATTTTTCTATAAATAAACTCAAAGTAATTCCAATAGAAATCGTGTGAGCAAACGCGAAGTAGAAACTTAGAAGAAAGATTAAATAAAACGGCAAAAGCCTATCTTACCGATATCATGTGTCACAGATTTAATGCAAAGTGAACTTTAATTTTGCGACACAATAACGGCAAACACAGGAGACTAGAATGATCATAAAATAATAGCGTACTATTATTTCAGATACAATTTCAATCTATCTATAGTCATTGTGCGTTGAATCGACATCTTTTTAGATGTCGACGAATATGCTTTTGTGTGTCACACTGTAGCTACGTTTGTGTAAGTTGCCTCAACAAAAGCACAGAGTGAGAAACTGAAAATTTCAAATCAGTTGTGTTGACGTCTTGTGGAAATGACCATAAAATTCTGTTGTAAAAATGTAAATGATGATGCTTTACAGTTTTTGTATGAAATCTGAATTTTCTCGAACCTATCGTGTTCTTAATTTTCCGCGATTAAGATTTTCGGTTCAAAAATTGAAAAGGCACTCTCACATACCATGTGTTCGATTTTTTCGAAAATAGAGAATATCAACCAAAAATTGATATTGCAATCATTCCTTCACATTTTTACCTTTTAACTGCTATTCTTGTAGAAGTAGACGATAGCTTCACCCGAAAGGGTTTTTCTTTATTATCTATCGAATAATATAAATGTTCGATAATTTTGTGAGTTTTTCTACTAAGAAGAAACGTAATGAAGTACATAAGATAGACAAAGAGACAAATTCTTGCAACTGTAATCGTATGTTTAGAGTGTAGATAATCTGTCGATGAATTTGACTCGATTGATCCAATAGTTATGATAACTCCATAACAATTAATATGTAATTATACCGTAATTATAATTATTCGATGTTTGTGTCATTATTCGACGTTGGAATTGTAAACAATATAAGATGTGAAAAACTATTTCTGGGAGATTGTGCGTTTCATGGTATTCTGTTTAACAATAGATAAAAAGTAAAATCTTGTGCTCTCGCGTTGAGACAGCTCATATACTGTATACATTGAAATACTTGCGTATATATCGGATGGGGAACAATAAAAACACAGGACATATTTTGCTTGTTTTATTATTTCCAAATCTTGCTTAGAACCTGAAGAAATTCTTTCACAATCTAATAATTAATTAATGATAATTAAGTTTAACATTAACGCCTGACAACGACGAAGTAAAGATTATAGATATATATATGTATATCGATCCATATACATATATATATTTATATTTATGATTATGTATGTATATAAGCTAATCCTTGCCCAGACACACATTGTTGATATGCAGTGTTTCGCTTTCATCATTCAAATTTATTCTTTTCCTACAGGCATATAAATAAAATCTTATTGCTTAATATTTTTTTTTAAATATATATACATACACACACAGACACACACGCCAATATATATACATATATACATAGACATATATATATACTCGTGTATGTATGTATGTATATATATATTTTAATATATCATTACCGTTACATATGATATGTTTTTGTAGTCCCAATGATTAATATGCACGCTTTTGTGCAAATGCCTCGACGTGAGACGTATGGACGGATTGATCCAGATATGCAAAGCGGACGTTCCGAATAATCGAGCCAGAATCACATCACATTTACATTTCACGTTTCACATTTATTTACACCTCGAACGTTGCCGCAGTTGCTCGGATAATTTTCAAATTGTTCAAATTGTTCCGTCGATCAGAGAATGTCGATAGCTTTCTTAGTTATCATCGCGGTGCATGCTTGTACTCGAGGAAAAAAAATAGTCGGCTGGTTTCGAGATCGATTTTCGGAATGTCCTCACGTATCTGGCAGTATTTTGACGAGGCCTAAGATTGTCGTTTGAACCTCGTCCGTGAAGATGCTGCAAGCAAAATAAGAAGAGAGAAACTCGTGGCCATTTTCGCGGCTCGCCTGTTTCATCGATCGCGGAGAGGCGTATCGCTCAAAAGCCC